GTCTGTGTTTCTTTTAATCGGCCACGACAGAGTCGCCAAAAGCACCCGGGGGGTCGGTCCCCGGCGGAGGACAAAGAGATCTTGAACGGGGAAAGCAAACGAACAAACCGGAGGGAACAAAGAATGTGCAGCGCCGGGAGAGAGAAGAGCATCGGCGAAATTACCAGTAATTCCGGGCTGGTGCTCGCCGAGCTTGGTGAGAACGAACACGGACAAGTGGTACCTCGAAGGAAAGAGGACCGGGGATAACGATCACGTGCCTCTGCGGACGTGTACCGACTGTCGCCCCTTGTCAATAAGTCTGCGAGGATTCGAATCCTGAGCCGGGGGGATCCTGCATTCCATTGGAAGACGCCTCGTTCCGGTCGCGACAACAGGGGACGAAGATTCCTTTCTTCGCGAGTGGCTAATGGCTTTAGCAGAAGCACGCTTCGTACAATACCACTAAACGTCGGTTACTGCCTCCTCGTGCACCCTACCCTCGACGGATCTACTCTGCTCCGTCAACTACGGGGGAATGGAAATATAATATACCGGATAAGGGATTTGCTAATCGTTTCTCTTCTTGAACGGCGAACGTGTCCGGTTAAATATTTTTTCGAGGGTTGGATCCCGCGTTTCGGAATACTTGGCAACTCGCTAAGAACTCGGAGCGGGGGGCGAGTATCGCGGAATTCGAAACGCTACGAACGCATCGCGCAGGGCGAGGCATTCCGCGGGCCGGGATAATTCCCGAAACTCCCAACGAATTTCCAACCGGTGCCCGCTTTACATAACTAAGGCTACGACTCTGTTCGAGCACCGACGAATCGCGATACCGAGTCCTTTGACTCCTCTTTAGGGGCGAACGAATTGTTCACGGTTTAGCCGAGAGTTTACCGCTTCGGAATTGCAAATACCCCTTCGTCTCCGAGTACGAGCGACAAAGGGCCATCGGGATCTTCGGCCCGTTTCTTAACTTCCCCGACTTTCAAAATTCGACGATCGTCGATCCACTCATTTTTTTTTCAATTTTTTGCGGAAGACAGATATTTCTTTATTTACCCAGAGGGGGGTTGATCGACTGGCAAACTGCCAGTAAATTCGTTTAAAAAGGAATTCTGGCTCGTCGCCTCGAAATAATCGATCTCCTTTTTTGTGTTTTCGAACGGTCGATTGAAATCTCCGAGTTTTAAAAATTAACTGCGATAACATTTACGTCACAGATTGCGGGGGAGCAGTGGAACTCGATCGTTCGAAGAAAATAGAATTGAAATTCAATCGCGGGAAACAGGAAGCTCGAGGAAGCTGGTAAAGGCTCGATCGCGTGTCGCCGTAAAGGGGAAGAAAATTAAATAAAAAGGTACCGTTACGCGTCGAGAGAAATCCACTCATATTTCATCGTGAGTAATTAGTATTTCCCCGTGGCAAGGTAAAATCGACCGCGGGAAACATAAAAATCCACTAAACGCGCGGACGTCAGCGTTCGCGAACGACCATAATTATCATCACACCTGCAGTTGCATTTATTACGCCCGGTCTGACTAATGAGCCCCTTTTTTCCCTGGCGCGATCGTCGAAGGAACTCCATCCACCTCGGTACGGATAAATCGCCGGCGAGAAGGATGACGAATTATCGAGAATTAATTCTCCGGGGCCAGCGATGCGTCACCAGGCGCCGGGGTCGACCGGGGCTCTGTGGGTTGAGGGACATCGAGGGAGAAAAAATATGGCGAAACCCCGTTTAATGGCTCGCGTTCTACCGGCGCGATCCAGATAGCCCGTGTATACATACAAGACCGCGCTGGGGAAAAAAATGGTAATCCATAAGGACGGCCAAGAATTTTTTACGAAATGTCGGACAATGACGCATCGACTACTTCTAAATCGCTAAACAGATACCAACGGTGCTATCCGTCGCTTCCACCTGGACAACACCAAGTGCCAAGATTTATGTAATGAAATTTTTCTTCAATTTTCCCCTCTAATTATATCCACTACCGCCGACGCCTCTTTCGAGCTACCTTCAATCCCAACTAACGATATCATTAACTTGTGGTGTCTATACCTTGTTGATATTGACCCTCGATCCGTTTCATCCCTCGAGTGTTCGCTTTTGTTTGCCCTCTCACAAAGTATATAATCATCCTCGTCGATAGAAGTTTTGCCGTTCAAAAATCAGGTTTGCAATTTGTAATTAGATTACACGTCTCGATATCTATAACTAAAGTTGCCAAATTCAAAGTGTACCGTGAATACAAATTTCCCAAGCTCGTGAGTCGGTGATACTTTGTTGGGGAACCCAGTCCTCCCAACAAAGACCGTTAAAATCGATCGATCGAGATCGACGGGGAGGTTTTAGTCGATGTCTGGGAATCCCGGGAGGCGTCTGGCGTGTATCGCGAAACTTGCGAGAAACTTCGCGAGGCTTTTAGCAGCGAAGTCCCGCGATTAGTGGTCGTAATATTTGTTTAATGCGCAGCCAGATAGCGGGTTGTATGCAGGGGGATGGTAGAAGGGTTGGGGAAAGAGGGGGCGTCGCGACGCGGAGGGCTCTTGCAGTTTTCCCACTCCGTTCAACGACGCCTCCGGCTTCGTTTCGTCTTCGAAGGCTTTCGCATTAATGGCGACCGTCGTAATTATTTCCGCGCGATTTTCTTGGTGTAATTCCGCGCGGACAATAAGAGAAATCTCGAATCGATCGACGACTAAGTTAAACAAACCGACCGACCGCGGATATTACGTAACGTTGTTCGACGGGGGAACTTGAGCCGCAAATATATCGCGGTCGAATTAATTTTCTGGAAGTCGTTCTTTACGACGAACGGAAATTTATGCTTTAAAGGTTTCGACGAAGAAACGATTGCCTCGCGCGACGTAATTAGAAATAATAAAGAGATTCTCGATGACGCGACCGTTAATGCCATCGATTTAACAATTACCGGCTCAAGTATTTACCTCCCGCGCTGAACGATTTTCTTGAAAACAGACGCGTTTTATAGTCGTTCCCGTTTTTCGATATTCTTTGCCCGAAAGCTAATGAAATTGATTAATGGGGGAAAATGTTATACCACCGGCCGTGAAAGTATTTCCAATAAACGTGAACCAATTTTACAAGCGAGGTACACGATCGAAGAATCCATCGGGTAATGGAATATTCGTAAAAGATCCTCGTTCGAAAATAACGACGAAAGGTACGCTCGCGGTCCTTATTTAATTTCGATGCGCCCAGTTAATTATAGTAAAATTGCAGGTACGATCGGGGCCAACGAAATTTACTTCGAGATCGCTACCACGATCTGAATATACATATATTATGTCGACGAGAATGATACCTGTCGGACTGGTGATTTCCATAATTGAAATTTCGATTTAATTTTATTTTATTTCGCGAATCGAACAAATATGGTCGCCGATGATTGATTCACGCGTAATAATAAAACGGCACGTGTCGTCTGGGACGGTCTGTACGTAAATACGCGGGACCTCGAGAACGCAAACCGTTCCGAGGAGCGGTAAAAGGCGACAAAGTCTCGATAAAAGCGTGCGTTATCCCTTTAATCATAAGAGACGCGACGGGAAGAAAGCGTTCGACGCTAGGAATACAGAACGGGGTCGACTCTATTTCCTCTATCCGTTGGCCCTCGCGAAAATGAAAAAGTTCCCGGCACCTTTCAATAAAGTCGCTTTCCGAAGGCGTTCCGGAGACTTTACTTTCGAAACGTTAGTCCCTTTGCGCGCTCGAGGCCTTCTGCGAAATTGAATTACCTCGAACGGAAAGATTTTCTTCTCCCCCCTCTCCATGAATATTGACAAAAGCCTACACTTCGACGCACGGCGAACACGAACAGTTTACAACTACGCGATTATCGTCTGCGACGATTCGATCCAAAAATTTTCTATCAAATTTAAAAAGAGTTCAGACTATAGGATACGTTGAGCTAATATTGAAACAGATTTTGAAAGAAGAAAATGGGGGATAATTGATCCCGCAAAATCTGATCTAAGGCTATCGGTAAAACAACCAACAAGTATTTCATACAGTGTTTGAACCAAAAAACGAAGATGCTGACTTGGTAGCTACGGGCTACGCTTTTATCTTCGTCGGTTGGTTCATCGGGTTCGAGACTCCTCCGCCATTGCGAATGACCGCCCTCCAGCGTTTAATTATATTAAAGCGTGCACCTGTAATTTGCATCCTTTATGGATTTACAAATATTTGCGGAAATTTCGAACCCGCAGAATTAATCGCGTAATTTCACCGATCGGCGAACAAACGAAATCGATCGCCCCCTACAATGGGCAAAAAGGAATCAACGGGACGAAACGGCTCGCAAATATTCATCTATATTTATGCAATAATTTGTTTTACAAAATAATGAAATACAAATTAAACCCGGTGCACGGGACGGTTATTTCATTTCTGGTTGAACGCGCACCTGCGCGCACGCCAGTAGCGTAATCGTTTACGCGACACACGCGCGCGAAAGCGAAAACGTCCATTATTACGAGCCTCGATCGACGGGGGGGGGGGAAAAACGCAGCTAGTTTCCGGTACCATTTTTATGCACCATAATGCGTCTGCCCTTAGTTAACGAGAACGAACGAACACGTACCATCGTTAACTGTTTCTAAAAAAAATAGCTGCCCATTGCTTATCGAAATAAATGAATAATTGCGATTGTTATCCAACCAGCAGCGCGACTATCGATCTCTCGTTTCAATCCATTGATCTCGATCGCAATAGTTGCTTCCTCGATTCTTTTACTGCACCGGAAACGGCGTTTGCGGAACACAGAGCAATTATGGACGAAATTCTGACTGACATCGGTGCAGTGATCGGGCCCGGTCGCGGTCCGGCGCGTATTATGACGGCGATTAAAACATTAGGCCCCGTCGTAAACGACACTGGTGCTTAGCACGGAAGAAAGTACCGACAGGGAACTGCTCTCTATAAAAGTACGTTGTGACAAGGTATCGACATTCAGTTGTTCATGGGCTACACCCGAAATAACGGTAACATGGCGACGATGGTGAGTCCCCTTCTATTATCGTTATTACTTCACCTCGTAACCATATTTACGACGCCTCGTATTTATGCCATTTTGCAATTACATCTTATCAAAGCTTACGTTATAGCTTCTTCCTCGGAGACATTAGAGCGAAAAAATATCGGAGATCAAACGAGCAAAACATCTAAACGTAAACTGATTCCCTATCTATTCTATCGATGATAATTTGTGCTCGAACCAACCTGATTTACCATCGACAACCTATCAGTTCCTGATAATAGCCTCTATAGTACAATATATTGCCATAATTAGCATCCTCTACAGTCGTAATGCGGGTCATCGAATCGCGAGGAATATTCTACTGACCTACCCTTTATGCATAAACTAATCAGCTGATTACCTTGATATTCTCCACGAAATTAATCCTCTCTCTGTTAGAAATTTGAGAAATTGGATCGTCGTAACGATTTACGACGGATTTACGAGGGATGCTAAGTAAATTGCATAAAAGTGGATATATTCCGGACGGTCCGCTGCCGTATTATTGCGTACACGTGAAATTTCATATTCGTCCGTGAGTTGACTGTACCGACCACCATTTTCGTAACGTTTCTTCGGTCAACGAGGAAACTCGAAGCCATAAGACACGCAAACTCCATCGTCCACGATCCGTGAGTTTTCGTTTGTCTTCGCGAGTAGTTGCAAATCGTCCGTGGAAATCGCAGTATCGTTGATTAAATTTCGCGTTAATAAGCGGCCCGGGCGTTTCGCGAAGAATATACACCGAGGTCTCGTAAACTCCGGGTTATATTACAGCGTCTGCAAGCACGGTCGCATTCGCGGATGAGAGATTAACGCGTGGGAGCACGGAGACGCCGGTGAAACGTTGATACAGCTTCGAACGAAACTTATTGCCGAAGCGATAAACCAAGTTCAGACGGCGAACCGAGCTTACAGGGTTTAATTGACCTTATAAGTCGGAGACAGAGCTCGCAGGGCGCGACGAACAAGAGCACGAACAACGAGGACTTTCCAAACGACGATACAGACTGGCTTCCCAGCTACGACTGCAGTCTCGAAACACGAACGACCGTACGCGCGGACGAAACGCATCCGTGGCTGTTTCGAATTCGTTTCGGACGGAAATAAAATTTCTGATTGCAGTTTCCATTCCCGTCGCGTCATCCTGTACGCGACGAGCTGAACCCACAATGGAAAAGCTCATTTAAAATTCTCTGCCGCATAACGGGCCAGCTACATTTTTCCCCGCGTTGATAGCATAAATCAACCCGGACAACCATTCGTTTCGAGCTAAAAACCTGCTGCCCCCCCCCCGGACAACGGAGGCCTCGATTTTAATAAAACGTGTTTCTCTAAAAAAAATTATGCTTCCAAAGACTGATCGAACAGCCCCTGAGTTTCGATTCTCGTTTAGTCGTTTAGCATCGCCATCTTTGTCTCTCGATCGGACGACGTCGCGCTGCAAGAAACGCATAAACGCGGTAAAACGAACCGGCGACGATTTACCGGATATTATCTCCGGTTCTTCCGCTCGGCTGTGCTCGTTTCGCGCGGGAAACGCGAGAATGCCAGCCAAAATGGCTCACGGTCCTCGACGTTGTTTTATTGTTTCGGTTAACCGAGCTAACGTCCGGCGCGAGAACGGCGTATCATAATAAATACGCTTGCGGCTAAGCGATTTTCGAAAATTAGTATCACCCGCGCCATCGTGCCCGTTGTTTTCGCAAATTATATTAAGCCCGATGGACACGATTCGGGATAATACAGCCTCGTTTCGCTAGAACCGTCGAATAGACGAGACGACTAAGTTTTAATCAAACTATTAACTGCTTGAAGAACGGTGGCTTTCGTAATTTTGTTTAATTTGTGGATTCCTAAACTTCTCTTAGACAATTTCACAGTCTCCCCGATAACGAGGACTCAACAGGTATTTTTCTTTTACCCCAGGCGTGGCTCCCGTTCGTCGCCCTGCTGCTGACAGAGGCGGTTGGCCAAGATTTGAAACCATCGGATGGAAATCGACCGCAACTGCAACCGACCAGACCGGTATTGTCCGATTTCATCAAGCTCCCGCGACAATTCCAGCCACCTCGGCCGTCTGCGACGCCGGACTCCGCGAACACGCTCCCAAACCTCGCCAGACATCCTCGAAAACGACAATTAGGCGACTTGGGAGCGCATTTCCAACCGCTGACGCTGCCCCTGGCCGCCCCCGCGCTGCATCCAACCGTGTTCGACTCGACCATCAAGACGACCATCGTCCCACGGTTAAACGAGGCTACGAAACATGTGATCGAACCTCGCGTTGCTTTCGTGGGGCCGACGCAACGGCGAATCCACGACAGCCAACAGTCGCCATCCTTCTATCACGGCCACAGACATCATCACGGACATCACGCGCATCACGATCATCACGCGAAGCACAAACACGACCATGGTCACAAGCATCATCACGAGCACGACCACAAGCACGGGCACGAGCATCACGCCGAGCACAAGCATCACGAGGAGCACAAGCAGCACCACGACCACCATCATCATCACGGACACGACCATCACCACGGCCACAAGCATCATTCGGACCACAAGCATCATCACGGTCACGAGCACAAGCACGAGCACGGCCACAAGCACGAGCACAAGCACGGCCACGACCACAAACATCACGGGGAGCATCAACACCATCATGGTCATCAGCATCACTCGAAACACGAGCACCACGAGGAGCACAAACATCACGCCGAGCATCACCACCACCATAAGCATCATCATCACAACGAGCATCATCACCACCATGAGCATCACCACGTCAACGAGCATCATCATCATCATACGCACAAGGAGACCGAGAATCACCACCACCATCACGGCCACGATCACAAGGAGGACCACAAACACGGCCACAAAGAGGAACACAAGCATCACCATGGCCACGAGCACAAGCACGGACACCACGAGGATCATCATCACGGCCACCACGAGGACCATCATCACAAACACGGCCACGAGCACAAGCACGGCCACCACGCGGACCATCACCATAAACACGGACACGAGCACAAGCATGGACACCACGAGGACCACCATCACGGCCATCACGAGGACCACAAACACGAACACCACGAGGACCACCACCACAAACACGGCCACGAGCACAAGCATGGTCACAAAGAGGAACACCATCACGGGCACCACGAGGACCATCACCACGCCCACCATCAGGACCATAAACATCACCATCATCAGGACCACAAGCATGACCACGAGCACAAGGAGGAGCACAAGCACGGCCACGAGCACAAGCATCATCACGACCATCACGAGGACCACAAGCATCACGAGCATCACAAGCATCACGAGGGCCACGAGCACAAACACGGCCACTCCCACGAGGAGGAACACAAGCATTTCGACGACCATCACCATAAGCATCACCACGAGGGACATCACAAGCATCACGAGAGCCATCATCACGCTGCTTACGAACAACACGGCCACGAACATTACAAAGGACTTGGACATTACTTCGACGCTTCTCAGCACCACGAAGAGTACGTATTTCCCGAAGAAACGGTGACCATCGCGGCAACACCACCCGTAGACGATATTCTTAAGATCAAAAAGGAACCGGAAGTCCAGGTAACCGTCGAACCGACGGCCACTGGCCAAGCTTGATACCTCGAAGTGGAGACGAATGCAAATTTAAAGAATAACATACGGTATGTTGTTAAAGAAAAATACAGTGTAATTTTATGGAGCTTCCTCGAAGCTTAACGATTGTTCGATAGACATAGTTTGTAGGTTTATATTTGTTCCCTTGCTACGTACACCGACTGATAAGTTCACTGTAAATTGTTTCTCGTTAGTCTTGGTTGTATCTTTGTTGACACCTATAAAATGTAAAGTTTTCACAAGTTTACGAATGGTCGTTCCTTCTATCAAACCCTCCCCAGAACTCCAACAGAAGGTACGCTTCCCGTTTCGAATTGCGATAGCGTTTAAACTTTGGTCTCAAGATGTTCGAATCCTGGCGCAAAGCAGATATCTTTCATCCGTCGAGAAATCGCGGGGGAAATAAACCTGGGGATCGACGCGGCAAATATGTAAAGCCAGTTTAATGAAACGTCCGAACTATCTCTAGCTGGACAATTCGTTCGAGTAATTGTAAGAAGAGGGATTACGTCGAAGGGATGAAGTGAAGGGAGCGAAGATCTTAAATTCGACCGGGAAAAGTTTCAAATATATTCATCTACCGGGCGTAATCCCATAATACAGTGAAACTCTCCTTGTTCGCTTCGATAAGTCGTCGATCCGAAGAACTCGCGGAGAGTGTTGTAATCCCGGCTTTCGGTTCATAATATCGATTTAAACTCTGCTCTCCGAGCAGCAGACGAACACTGTCGAGAATGAAACAAGATTAACGGGATCGTCCCCAACAGGGATCGCGTCAAAAAGGAGGAAAAATACGACGAAGATCGTCGGGTACAACCTCCGGGGCGAATTATCCCCCCGTTCGAGCAGTAGACTCGTGAATTAATGGCGGGAAAGAAGATCCTATAAAGAAGCGAGCAGGAACGGGGACGCTTCTCGAAAAACTTGGTCGTTTCGATCGTCTCGAGATAAAGCCAGTTATTTTTAGGACGAAACGGTAAATAACATTATGCCCCGGTTAATTTCCAGAAAGATACCCCGCGATTTAATTCGCTTGATTGTCCGACAGTCCACGGAAGCAGGTTATTATTTAATATTTGAATAAAGTCAACTCCGGGGATAATTGAGTGGGCATTCTACGAGCCTTTCGCTTTTCGATCCGACGTTGAGAATTATGCCGAAAGCACGGCGTAACAGAGATCACGTATTAAAATTTAATTTAAATTTAATAAGTATGAGATATTTGATACAAATTTTACGGGACAATACTTGCGCAAAATAACTACAAAATGTCACGAACGGTATTATTGTTCGAAATAAACGGTTAACAGGGGCGCGGGAGCAGAGGACAAGCGAGAAAATGCGGTAAACTTTGGCGGAACGAGTCGCCTATCGGGAACGCCGGTTATACGAAACATTAATATTTCCACGGAGTTTGATCTCGTTCCGTGGCCTACGTCGGAACAAAGGAAACTTTCGAAATGGAATCGAAAAGCGCTGGAACTAATTTCGGGGGCTCGCAGATTATTTTCCCGCGCTGTTCGTCGCGGAATCGGACACATAAGTTTCCGTCGATGTTTTTCACCGGGCCGGAGAAATAATGGTTGAATTTAATTACTGGCCCGTGGCTCGGGAACGCTCGATAATTCATCGCGAAATTTTCCCGATTCAGCGGCTGTTCGATCGTATCGGAGATTCGATTAGAAATTCAAATGTTTGCCCCGGCGGCTCGAGCCGATCGGAAAATCTCGCGAATAAGAGGCTTACGTCTCTTGTCGAAAGCTTTCGCGGAAATGATAAGAGTATCGACGCGACGGTCCCCTACCGTGGAAAAGAAACGGAGCGAGATCGTCGAATCGATTTTCCGAGTAAATTCGCAAAACTGGAAGACGTCTGCCGGGCGAAATGGGTTAATAAATCATTCGTGCCGATAGATTCCGTGAAACGAACCGTGGTAGAAAAGGGGGAGAAAAGTAGGAAGGAGGCCGCAAACTTCGCCATCTTGGGATTTAAATTGGTCCGGCAGGTTTATCAGCATGCATTGGCCGGCGCCCGGAAAGCACTCCGGAAAGCAACGCTCCTTTTCCAGTTTTAGCTCTACCTCGAAGCCGCGGGAGATAAGCTGGAGGAAGGGGGTGGTGAGACCGCCACGATGGAAGAAATTCCGTGTCGCGGGAGTCGAGTAAATCGAGAGCAGAATGAAAAGTCGGGGAGGATCTGCTCGAGTGTCGCGTTACGCTCGACCAATTTACCGCGCCGAATTCTTTCCGGTTCTTCCGCCCCGACGGTCCTCGTCGTTCCGATCGTTTCTCTGTCCCGCGAACCGTTTCCGGGACGGCGAACCGCGCGCAGCCCTCGCCGCTCATCAGCGTCGCAATTTCTGTCCCCGCGGGGCGCCTCGTTAAAATCTGATCGACGATTTGCGCGCGATGCGATCTCCATTACGCCTCCGCTGCCGCGCTCGGAACGTTTAATAGCCCGTGTCGACGTAAAACGGGCCGAAAGTATGCCCGTTTCCCGCACACGATACTGTTTCCACCGTTAAACCCGCGGGAACGTTCGTCGCCAACTTGTCGACCGAAAACCGTACTATTTTTTTTTCATTAAGCGTTCGAAATCACGCACGCGATGGGGAGACAAATTTACAATCAAAACTGCACTTTAATTCCGCCCGTGTCGTTCGAAGTTGCCGCTGGTTTATCCACGAAATTTACTTGGCGAAAGTGGCCGGAAAATCGCGGACTGAGAAATGAAAACGAGATCGACGCAAATCACGGATACAAAGTACTCTCGCGCGGAGGGTAACGGTACGAGTATTCGTCAACGGGGAGAGCATCGCATCCATAATTCAGCCCGGCGTCGACAGTCGGGGTCAAAGGAAAAAGACTTTTTCCACGGGACTCGTGTTCCAACGGCAGCTCGAGGAGAGACAAGGCGAACGGGCCGTGTTCCTGGACGAAGAAAACAGGAAATAGAACGTCGACGGCGAAGAGGAATGGAAGCTCGAAACGAACGGAACGAAAGGGTTCCGCCCGTCGCATGCAAATGTTCGACAATCGTTAATCGCGAGAAGGTTACTTAATCGTTCTGGAACGGCCCCTTTCGCGAAACAGTTAACATCCTCGGGCGCGTTTCGGACTACCCCCGGAGTCCATTCGGAACAAACGCGACGGAACAAAAACCAGAGAGACTCTTGTTCCGGATGTAATTAACGCTTCTTGCGAGAGATGTACGAATAAAAAGCGAAATTACTACGCGCGTGGAAAACCATTTTTAGGGATCCAGGGTGGCTCGACTGCTTCCTCGATATCGTCGAGAAGTATATTTTTCATTGCACGGTGTTTCGAGACTCTTCCGATGAATCTTCTAACTTGAAACTCGGAATAAATAAAAATGAAGGTAAGCTGGAGATAGCCGTTGATATCATCGAATGTAATTTCGACGCGGTTACCAGCGAGCAAGAAAAGACACGCGAGGGGGGAGTGGCGGAAAAAGGGCAGTCAGGAAATCGGATCTATGCCGCGAAAAGGAACTTACCGGAAGTTCCACGCGCGGCCTCTTTGTCCCTCTTCTCCCGGTTGCTGTCGGTCCAGGGACCGTTTCCGTGGAAGTGAATTCATTCGTGAGCGGCCACCACGCTTGGAAAAACCTGTCGCGCGGCGATTCGGATTTAGCAGCTCGCACGTGAAATCGCATTACACCGCGTCTGCACCCGCTCTCCGGAAATCGGAAATAAACAGCCGCGAGAAACGAAGAATGGAGAGGAACTGTTGCGTCGTAGATTGGACTTTCGAAATCTGCTTTTGCTTATTTCCGGCACCCCGTTATTCACCCCTAACGAATACCACTCTAAATTCTCCACGGAGAATAAATACGTGTGATAAATTCCCACCAAAAAAACCCCCGAGTTCGCGGTTCGAACGGCGAGAATTTTTTACGACGCAAGAATCTGTATCCCGGCGTCGAGTCGAAGGCGGGCGAGCCGGTCCAAGTTAGAATTGCAAAATTAATTTGTGCCGAAGTTTACTAGAAAGTGAAGGAAAGCCAGTGGAAAGTTGAGCCGATAGTTGCACAAGGGGTGCGCAATCCAGCGACGACGGTTAAGTTTCAAGTGCTCCGTCCCCTTTTTCTCCCCCCACCCCCCTCGCCGAGTTCATAAATAATTCAGCCGGCAAATACTTTAATTGCGCTAACCATGCTGGAACGATGCCACGGGATAATGCTACAATTTTCAACCGCTAAAACCGCTTTCTTCTGTCTTCTGTCCGCTCCTTCATTTTTCCTCCCCCTTCCGCGCCCCGTCGGTTTTCAACTTTAACCCGATGTCAAGGGTGGCTTTCCGCGGAAAAACGCCGCCCCGGAATTATACAAGTTCGTGGCGGGATTACGAAGAAATAGCGTTACTTCCAGCAGAACTTTCCTGTTGTTCGTTCGAGCCCGATGCGTTTCTTCGTGGTCCCGGCGAACGCGAGTTTATTACAGCCGAGAAAGAATCGACGTCTCCGTCTTCCGTTGCGAAGATGCACGGAATTTCAAAAGTTGGTAGAAGAAACCGATCTCGTCGCCTAATCGTGACTTCGCGATACATTCGCGACACGTCACGGTGCCCGATAAATCACTCGAATCTGCATGCATTTGCAAATATCGTCCTCGAGCCACTTTTTTTTTTATCGCTACCGTTATTGGACTAACGATCGAAGAAACCATTAGAGAGAGGAGAGTTTGTCGTTGACCCGGCGTCCGAGTCGTTTGAACTAACGAAGTTACGGTAAAAAAAACCGCAAAACTGTAGGGACCCGGTAGTTTTAATAGCCGCTTGATTTAATGTATTCGACGTGTTTTAAGTCCCCCCTGTTAAACGCCGGTCCCGTTCGCGTGGAAAAGAAAGGCAGCCGGAAGCAGTGGCGGCGAACGTAAGAAAAACCGAATGGGGGACAATATTTAACAATTAAGGAGTCCTTTATTGTGCCTCGAAGGTTCTTGTTCCGTTCTTTAGCGCCAGGCGGACGGATAAAAAGAGAAAA